TTATGCCGGATTTCGGCCGAGCGTAGAGAATTTGGCAGCGCCGGGGGGGTCCGAGTGTGATTTTATCGCATGAAGGGGGCGGAGGTCGAGGTGTGGTGCCAGTTTACAGGGGGGAGTAATGGGCAGACGCTTCGCCGGTGCAGTTTCTTGGATGTGGTGCTGGGGGTGGCAGCATAAAGGCGATGGGGAATAGTAGCCCGGACCTCCGCCGCGTCGTCGGGGAAGGCGAGGGGGGGAGAGTTTTCATCAAGAGGTGAGAAGGTAATATGCCGGAGCCCGCATCGGCGGTTTTTTGGAGGATGTGGCGGCGAGGTACCCCGGGGGGGATGAGGAAGGCGGTGGGGGACTTGGTGGCAGAGGGGACGGGGGGGTCGAGGGAGGAGTTGATGGCGGCTCGGGAGGCGTTTGAGGGGGCGACGAGGGCGTTGGCCGAGTTTAGGAACAAGCATCTGCAGATGGTGACGCGGTATATCATCATTCCGTCGAGGCAGCCAAACCCAAATCAGGGGGTGAATTTGGCGACGGCCTCGTCGAGGTTAACGGGTTCGGGGGCACCGGAAGGGAGAACGGCAACGCCCACGGCCGGAGGAGAGCTGACGGGCACGGGAGGGACGGCATTGTTGCCGTTTTTGAAGCAATCGCGGGATGAGACGTTCCAGGCCGGGAAGCTTCAGGTTCGGTGAGGTTGTGGATTCGGGATATATGGGTGGGACTGATACATTGGCGGGGTTAGTCACCAGAGGTGGTACGAAGTAGACCAGAGAAGTAAGACACTGATCGTTAATCAGTTCATCCCCCTCGCCGGTAGTTTTGGTCGTCTTCCCCAGTAAAACTGACCGACGGTCGTCGGATATTGTCCTTCTGAGCCGCGTCGCTATCATAGTCGAGTCTCAACAACCTGGTACGTAAATCTTAGAATCTGTAGTTATTGGATCCGTGCTCTCGAGCGACGGAGCTTTTCCTCGGGTTTACGATGCCGAGAGAGAACTCGAACTGACTCATTAAGCGTGGCGCCAGTCGTCATGATGTCGACACCTTCATTCATGCTGCAATGTGAGTCGTCCGACCTGGCATCCTCTTGTCCCAATGTCGCGTTCAGCCCGGATACTCCGGGATAATCACCTTGTAACCAATTCCGGGGTGACCAAGCAGCCTGGTAGGCATTGAGGAACCCAATCCTCCGAGTCCACCGACGCCGCCCTTCTTGTAACACAGGCGGCGTGTCACTCGGCGCAACGAAGGGCGCAATGTCAAGGATCGGGTTTTTTTTTCTTCAATTCCCGCTGTAACCCGTTCCTCTCGCGAAATTTCTCGCGTTTCGGCGTGGACTGCATGGAGCCCACCTTACCGAGCATGCCCGTGTTGCCGTGACCCCGACGAATCAGCGACCTGATGAACCTCTGCATGCCTCAACGCCAGTGACTGATTGGTATTGGGATATTCCAAAACTGTGGAAAATGGCGAGAAAAAAGCGAGCGGTGGGTCGAAAATACAAACAAACAAAAAACAAAAAGGCCGAGTAAAGCTGGAGCCTGAACCCGTCAAGGTCCTCGGAAGTCATTTGCCGCCCGAAGAGTCAAGCTTTTGTGAAGCGGGGCTTATTTTTTCAGCAGCGGTTCCGGTGCAAGCGGCAATGCGCGGCCGCTCCGCATTCCCAAGCCATGTTGTCTGCATCAGGATCGACGCGGGAATGTGGGCAGGAGAGCAAGCAGGCCCGATCCGGCCGGCAAGTGCTGAGGGTGCAAAAGTGGAAGTGCCAGAATAAAATTCTCGCTGCCAATGATTGATGAGTGGATCCAACCCACCAACCGGGAACGATCGAGATCTTGCATGCTCCCCGTGCCTTCCAAAAGGCCATCTTCAGCCTATCTTTCCCGCGCAAGGGGCCACAACGACGGCATGAAACGGTCAAGAAAAGAAGCAGCCAGTTTTCTCCGCGGAAATCTACCTTCCTCACACATTCCGACTCTCCAGGGGTCTCTGGGCCCCAAGTGAGCCAAGATTCCTGGCGCTGCACCTTCCCGGCGCTATACTAGATCGGGAATTTCTCTTAGCAAATCTGACGTAAATCCTGGGCTGCCGTTGGCTCACAGCTGCAGAGGCTTTGTCACGAGTTTTGGCTGTTTCCTGGCAAGCCGGGGCAAGCACCTCGTCTTCAACCCGCCAGTGACACCCACAGGGCGCGCCTGAAGCTCCTGCCACTGATGAGCCACTTCGACGTTGGTCGTGCCACCACGCCGCCGGATGGCAACATCCATGGACGGGCTTAGGCCATTGTTCGGGGTTAAATCGAGGTGCCGGGGCCAAGCCATATTTAAACAGCAATTTCCCATTCTTTTTTCTCGATTCCCATCTCTTATTAGGGTTGGTTCAGGTTCCCTCTGGTGGAAGGGCAGAAGAAGAGTCGGCGACCATTCGCCTCGCTTGAGGAAACAGCAACAGCCTTTCGACCCTCGGCAGCATTGTTCTATAGTTCTTGCCGTGACTTGGCATCCACGGCCTTTAATTTAGGTGTTCTTGTACATACTTCCCCCCTATTCGGCATTTCCATCAGTTCCCCGGCCATCCACATCCCCGATATCGAGGTCGACATCCCACCCCGGCATCCCAACCGGACCGTCCCGCAACAACGCACACCCTCATGTCCTAGGCACGTCATCGACCTTTCGACGGTTCCAACATCACTACCCTTTTATTTTGGAAATACACCTTGGATACACAACGAAAGGGGAGACAAGAGCGCCGCCATGATACCGCCCAACCAGCCCCGGCGGGGGCTGTCCCGCTGGCACTTCGACATCGACAAGCACCTCAACCCCTTCCTCGCGCCGTCCGCCCTGCCCATGATGCCCGCCCCCGTCGCCCATTTCTTCGGGTACCGCACCCACGCGCCGGCGCACCCCTTGGGCAACCTGGTCATGATCTTTTGGGCCGTCATCGGCGTGTTTGCGAGTTTGGCCATCGTCGGTGCCGTGGTGCTGGCCGTGCCGTCGTTCCAAGCCCAGGGCGTGCCCACCATCATTGGGAGTTTTGTATGTCTTTCCCCTCGTTTCTCCAATTCCATTTCCCTCTAAACAGAAGAAAACCCTTCCCATCCCCCTTCAACCCCCCACTAACCCCTCCCCCCTCCTTTCACAGGGCGCAGCCGCAGTCCTCAAGTTCTACGCCATCGAGTCGCCCCTCGCCCAACCGGCGCAACGCCGTGCTCGGGCAGTTCATCTTCCGCCCTCGTCGGCATCGCCATCGGCAAGCTCCTCTCCTTGTCCCCGCACTTCGAGGCCGTCCGCTGGCTGGGGCGCGTCGCTGGCCTGCGCGTGCGCCACCGCCCTCATGGCCCTCACCGGCACGGTGCACCCGCCCGCGAGCGCGTCCCGCGCTGATAGCCGTGCTGGATGATCGCGTGGCGGGCATGGGCTGGTTTTAGATGTGTACGCTGAGTGTGAGGGTGTTGTTTGATGGTGGGGGGGGCGATGCTGGTGAATAATGTGCAGAGGGAGGTTTCCGTATTATTGGTGGAGTCCGGGGGAGATGGGGGGGTATTGGAGGGGGAAGAGACGAGATGGGGGAGACGGAGGAGATGGTGGGGAGAAGGGGGAGAAGGATGGTGGTGATGGGGGTGGTGGTGTGCTGGGGCTTGGCCAGGGGAAGCCACGCGATGAGGAGTCTAGTGGGAGTTCCTCTGGGGGCGAGGCCGAGGTTGGGGGGGAGCTGGTGCAGACCGTGTCGGTCATGAGTGGGCGTGGCGGGGAGATTGTTATTAGACGCGGCCGGGTGCACATCCCGGATGGGTTGAGCCTTAGACCGGAGGAGATCTTGTCGCTAGAGATGCTCAGTGAGCGGTTGTGATGTGATAGAAGGTAGACGTTGGCTAGCAGTAGAGTTTTAATGATGCCATGATATTATGATTAGCTATATACGCCACAATCTACCACTTTGGTTAGACCCGGTCGTGTGCCGCCCTCCCTGATACATCCCACCTCCGTCTTCCTCGCCCCACCATCTTAGATCTTCACGATCGACCAGCCACAGCTCCGACACTCGGTTTGATCACTGGTCACCTGTTGTACGACGTAACATGGCTCGCCCACCCCAAGGCCACACCAGAAACCAAAAGCTACCTAGAACAAACCCAAAAACTCTCCGAGCCAAGCAAAGCATCCCACACGCCAGCTGGTGTGCCACACGACCACCCCTTACGGGGTCCAGTTTCACAAACACACACACAAGACTTGAAGGCACACACGCTTCCCGGCCCCAGCTCCGCGGGCGTGGGTTCCAGTTTCTCGGGATGTATCCCAACACCATGCACCACAGCCTGAAACACCACGCACGGCCGGTCGGAGGGGACATTATATATTGGGTTACAGGCCACAGCATATCATTTCCCAAATACGAAGTACACCCGTGCCATACCCGGGTATGTTAGGTACCGTTTCATAAACACCTGCCAGTGTCACCCGACACGTGGTCTTCTCCGAGGAGGAGGAGGACAAGATGCTACCATGATCACCTGACCAGGCTGACTCCGGCTGGCAGAGCGGTATTCCCGAACGGGATCGTCAACCCACGACGGGATCACGGTTGCCTGTTCTGGGGGGTGGAGGAGTCCTTCGGAGTTGGAGTGGGGCCCATCAACTGCGGGATCCCGAATCCCGAGGGAATGCCGCGCTGAGGGCAAGGTTGGGCATCGGCGGGGATTCCATGGCTTGATGAGTAACTGACGATTGCTCGTATTCTGCATCTTGGTGCCAACGTGGTATTGTATTGTTCCGTCCTTGGAAATATTTCAAGAATGCCCCTGTTGTTCATCCAACTTGTTGAATTAGATAGTACCGACAAAGGCTCGATATTTTCTACTTCTTCACAATCCCTCCCTTTGTTGTCTTTGTTGTTTGCTTCCCCGTCGGCTGAGTTGCCGTCGTTGTCGTTGTTGCTGTTGCTGTTGCTTTTGCTATTGGTGTGGTTCTCGATGTCTGTGCCTTCTTCGGCGTCGACGTTGCCCCCGACGTTGAGTTCGCCTTCTTCTTCACTGGTGCCGCCTTCAGCGGCGTTGAGGTTGCCTTTGGCTTTGTTGTCACCCTTCGCTTTTGGCTCCGGCTCCGGCTTCTTAGAGGGCTCAGGTCCGTCCAACAGGACCAGCGCGTCGTCCGCAGAGATGCGGTCCTGGGGCCTGAACCGCATCAACCCCTTAATAATAGCCAGCAAAGGCCTCAAACTTGGGTCCGTGGCATGTCGTGTGAATTTCCCCTCCAGTTTGGACTGTGACGGCATGACAGCTAGAATTATCCTCCCATTAGATCGTCCGCTTCCTGGAATGGATTGATCCTACCTGGATGTCGTTCATGGCTCCGGTGGTCTGCTTCATGCGCTCCCATTGAGGGCGCCACTCGGTCGGGAGGTCTCAACAAAGTGTATCATTTGCGCCACCAGCACGTCCATATCGCCGAGGTACTGGAAGGGCCTTGAGGCCGTCACAAGCGAGTATATCTGCCAATATTCCGTCAGATCTGCGTCTTGTGATACTGGACATCCTCAAGGGAACCTTACCGTGCAGCCCGCCCGCCACAGGTCGACCCTGTAGTCAAACTTCCCCGTAAATATTCCCTCAGGGGCCTGGAGGCCACCCGGTTCGGCAAGTTTGGTGGGTGGCGCGCTGTGCGGGAAAGCTTCGCCAAAGTCAATAAGCCGGACGTCTTCCTCGTCTTCGTCGATCCAATCTTCCCACTCCGTCTTTTCGACCAACTGCTCTGGCATCCCAGGGGCGAGGGGCTTCCCGTCGAGGCGGACGAGCTTCTCCGTATTTGGTGCCCCGATAATCTTGAATAGGGCGCTGGGGGACAGTGTGGCCAACCGAGCTGTGGTGAAAGCCATGTTGGCCCCGCTGACATCTATCACAGAGGGGCAGACCCAAGTCAATATTCCATCACTGAAACTGGACAAAACTGGCGGGCGCGACAAACCTCCATGCGCATAGCCTGCCCGTTGTTGCATGGCCGACAGGGCTTTCAGGAGCTGCCTGGTGATGCCAAGGATTGTCTCGGGGTCGAGATGGTCTCCGCCCTGGGCGTAATCAAGGACCACAGTCTCGACGGCAGGTCCAAGGAGCTCAAAGACTAAGCATTGGTGATTTCCGTTGGGCCCCGTGTGAACGAAAGAGTCAAGTAGCTGAACGACGCCACTGGCTGCGCGGGCTTGGCGCAACTTTTGATGGATTGTTAGCTCTCGCGAGACATTGGCGTCCCTGGCTGCCGTGATCTTGAGGGAGACCCTATCGATTCAAACTGATGGTAACCCAGCGTCAGTGACCCGACTGGGTTCAGCTTGCACAAACAGGGGTTATCGCAACATACGATTGATCTCTCGCGAGCCAGACGTGTCTAGAAGCCACCCCAACCCAACTTGTGATATATCTTGTAACCACCATTTATTGAAGGTGTCGCCGAGCTTGACAGGATGGCATGCCGCCGGTCCGATAGTGCGTTATCCGTTTCTTGGGAATGCAGTGAAGGTTGGTCGGCTTGAAGCTCGAATAGTTCGTCCATGGGTTGGGAGTCCAACTTGGGTAGTCGTATGCGATTGGGCTTCAGGCAAGTGGCTTGGCGCAGTGCGTGTTGACTTTGTTCTGTTCGCCCGAGCAGGTTTTCAGAAACAATGTGCGAAGGGAGGAATGGAGGCCGCAAATCAGACCTTGATCTTCCCACAAATGGCAATTTATCACGTGGGTTTCATGAAATGCTTCACAGTTCAAGTACAACCGTAATCCGTACAACATAACACAACGCATTTGAACTAACTCCATTATTCGTACCCAGAACGGGACAGGCAAAACTTCGCGGTTTCAGGTTTTCACTACCACCTAAAATCCACACCTGCCGAATCGAAGGATGCCTAGCCGAGAGTGGGTCTGATCGACTTCAGCCCTACGGTAAGTTCCACGTTTGGTGATCCACGAGGAAGCGATTCCTTACGAAAGGAAGGGGCAAGGTGGCCAAGGCCAGTCTAGGAAGAGGCAAAGGCACCTGAGGCAGCTCAGGGCAATTCGGCAGGTGTAGTCAAGCAGCCCAATCTCAGCCAACAAGGCAGTTCAAGACTCAACCGTCCCATAACTTTCAGGTTGTTCTTTTTTTGTGATCCATCCCGGGCCGGTTTCCACAATTCCACTCCACTTCCGCACTCGGTAACGACCTCGTCGGTTCTTTTCCCATGGACCCTCGGTTCCAACCACTCGGTTCTTGTTTTCTCCATTAAAATCTGACGATAGCATGCGGTAACGGCCCGAGTGACGAATGCGAATATGCGATGAGTGCGACAATCAGCTGGTTGCCTTCACTAGCACCTTTAGCGGTCTAGGCCCTAGGTAGTTTGATTTTCATCTGCTGGTTTACACTCTGCTTTCGACGGTGCTAGTAACACCAAGCTCGATTAGGACCGCCCTCTGGAGTCCGGGTTCCACCGTTTCAGGCTGATACCAAAACGCCCCAAGGAATCCTGTGGACAGCTGTATGAAGTCATAGTATGTTTCCTTGGATCGATTTCCTCAAACATCCCGGTTACACGACCACAGTTCACACCCCCATAGACCTCATTTAGGTCTCTCTATGTGGGCCGATTAAGAGGCTTCCACTACGGCAAAGACCTATTGATAGAAGTTGCCCGTCCAGGTGGAGCAAACTGCTCACAGGCCGTGGAGTTTCCGGACTACTGAGGATGCGGCTGCCACTGGAGTCCACTGGACCAGTCTGGTCTCTTGGAGTTTCAGTTTTGGTCACTAGTTGTTAGCTAGTTAGATGTTGCTGAGCCCGTCGACCATACGCCAATGGACCCAACATGGCCTCCCAAGATGAGACCACAGGCAACAGAGCACGTGGTGCCGTGCTGACCTTGGAGACGGCACTCATGATACATCGCAACATGAGATAGAATCAAGTATAAAGGAGGACATCTGCTTCGGTAGTTCAGAGTTCAGTTCGACATCAAACCATCATCTCAACATCTTTCCTACTTCTTACACTTACTTTTCCATATCTACAACCGCTACGAATGCCTCTTCGTGTCACTTACAACCGCGACTGCGACGCCAACTTCCAGCGCGTCTATGGTACTGCATTCGCTGCCTGGGCCGCTGTCACCGCCAACGCGACACACCACGGCATCACCTTTGACCAGGCCGAGGTTCTGTAAGTTCTATTCCGACACGTCCTCTGTTGTCTCTATTCCGCCCTTTACCTCTGCAACCACCACTCTTCCCGGCTTCTCCATCCCCTTTGACAATACCTACCTACCAACCCACCGCCGCCCAAGCCACCTCCCCCTCCACCACCACGCCCCTCCAGCCAGTCCACTAACCCACCTCCCAGCAACGGCCTCCACCCGACCACCAGCCCCGCGGACCCGGACACGACGCCGCACGTGACGGTGCGCCTGACCAACGCGACGCTGCGGGCGCAGAGCTCGTGGTACGTGCTGCACTGGCGGCCCAACGGCGGGTCGGTGGTGCTGCCGCGGGCCGACAACAAGGCGGCCAACGACAAGCGCCGCGCCGACCGCCGCGCCAAGAAGCTCCGCCAGCGCCAGCGCAAGGAGGAGGACAAGAAGAAGAAGGACGGCGATGGCAAGGGCGGTGGTGGTGCGTCGACCACTACTACCACGACCAAGAAGGCGGTGGGGAAGAAGTAAGTGGATGAGTTGATCGTCTGCTGGGCTTGGGTGGATGGACGGATGGGGATGGTAATGGTCACACCGCCTGGGTCGGTTGCTGCCCGCCCGGTGCCCGGCTGGTCTGGGGCGGCAGATAATGTCTCGCCTTGGATAGGCGAGTACTAGTGCCTCTGAGTGCTACTGGTAGTGCCATAGGAATTTGAACTGGTTTCAAAAATAGTTTTCTCTATGAGGGTTCCGTTGTTGTTGATGTTGTTCTATGTGACCACAGGGGCAGCGTGCTAACACTTTAGCATTTACA